AACCTCTACAAATTAGCTATAACCTTTCTCTGCACCCCAGCCTCATCCGTCCCTTGTGAAAGACTATTTTCAAAAGCAGGAGAAATCCTATCGAAAAAAAGAAACCGTTTAAAGCCAAACACTTTGGAAATGCTTGTTTTCCTGAATAAAAATGAGTGAAAGGTGTATCTTGTTCCTTGTTTATGTCAATGTCGAAAATAAAGCAACCATTCTTTCAAGTAACACGCACATTCATTCACATCACAACTCCCCGCCCTTTCGACTCCATCAAATCCATGGTATTTTAATCACTGTGTCATGACATTTATTGTCCACATGATGGCGCAATAGAACAAATGGAGCCTCATGATGCGTTGGCCCAGAACCGACCCAGTTGGATGGAAGGCCTCATTGCTTCATGAGGCTTCAGTTTCCCATCACTAGCTGAAATGCTCGCCGTTGTTTGGGGAGCCCTCAACGCGAACAAAAATAAAACATGTGTTCCACTTACCGAGAATCTGCCCTGCGCCCACATTTTGTAAACAGAAATGACAATGGACGGCTTTCAAGCAGACGTCCCTTAAAGTCGTGATATGCTTCTTCTCCATGCTAGTGTATATGTGTGTGAGCGCGTATAAAAAAAACACACGGCTGCACTACAAGGAAGTGACGTCAGGAGAAGATGGCGAACGTAAAAACAATAGCGACCCCACTGGCAAGGAGGCAAGCAGACTCGCCCTGCACCGAAAACAAGTACGAGCATGGACATCCAATTTAAATTTGAGTCGTTATTCTTAGGGGCCATTACATCAGAAAATGCTTCTAATAATGTTAAATATTTATTTCAGATCCTAAGTGCTGCTTGCAGGAAAGCTATTACAAGAAAGTGGTTAAAACCTGAAAAACCTACTGTTGAAGAATGGATCGACATAGTCTATGACATGTTCAAAATGGAGAGGATTACCTTTGCTCTGAGAATGAAACAAGACACTTTTTTGAATAGATGGGAAAGATGGATGAAGTATATCACGCCAGTACGACCATCATTTGTTTAGAGTCGACTTCTGTGCCACCCCTTACACTTACTCTCTCTGCTGTTTTATTCAAGTCTGTATGTTGACAATTCCTGTAATAGTATGCGTAACGAGTCTGAGAGGTTTACCCCACTGTTTTTTTTTGTCTTGTCTGTTTGTTGTTTTCTTGTCTGTTTTTATTTTACTATAGTTAAAAAAAATGGTCATATAGTTATACAGTACTTCTTATTGGTCCCTACACGTTACGTATTGCTTACTCAATCTTGGTTATTTTAAATTGAGATAATCTTATGTATGATCAGATATATTAAGAACTTGTATACTTTGTTCTTTCATTGACTGTATGGATGTGATTTCACAATAAAAAAAGAATTGAAAAAAAAAAAGAAAACAAGTACGAGCACGGCTGAAGGTCACGAAACAACGAAAGGACTTTTCTGTGCGTGTGGTGGTGGTGGTGGTGGAGGGGGTGGGGGGCGCTGCGGTCCAATATAACGAGCATGCGCAGTGTCTGCGGACCGCTTGGCACGCAGACCGCAATATGGCGAGAGCGCCTGAGAGCGGAGGCTGCACGGAGTTTTCGGGCTGGGAGAACGACATCCAGGGCGTGCGCATCACCGGGGAGGAGAGCTGGGAGTCCGCGGCGGTCGGCACTCCGAGCGTGGACAGCAGCGCCCGACTCTCACCCGAGCCCCAGGAGCGCACCCGGCTGAGCGACAACACCCGGCTGGCGACCCGCTACGCCGTGCGCATTTTCCGGGAGTACCTGAGCGACAAGGCGCGCAGTCCGGACTTCGAGAGCCTGGACAAGGCGGAGCTGTGCGCTCTGCTGCGCTCCTTTTACGCGGAGGCGCGCTCTAAAAGCGGCCAGTTGTACAGCAAGTCGTCGCTCGTCAGCATCCGGAGCTCGCTCAACCGCTACCTGAACGAGCCGCCCCACTGCCGCACGCTGGACCTCACCAAGGACCCGGAGCTGCGCGGGGCCAACCTCGCCTTGGCGGCGGTCATCCGGCGGTTGGAGGAGCGGGGCGCCGGGCCGGTGGTGCAGAAACAGGCGATCGCGCGCTCCGACCTGCGCCGCCTCTACGAGTCGTCCATGTTCGACGCGTCCACACCCCCGGGGCTGCTCAACAAGGTTTGGTTCGAGACCTGCATGTACTTCAGCACCAGAGGCCGCGAGAAGCAACGCGAGCTTCGCGAGGACTCCTTCGCGCTGGCCGCCGACGAGCAAGGCCGGAAGTTCGTTTACTTCCGAGCGACGCGGGGCAGCCGGAAGACGGCCGCCGACGAAGACGTCACGCTGCGGCCCCGCATGTACGAGACGCGCACCTCGCTGTGTCCGTACGCCAGCTTCGTGCGCTACCTGGCCAAGCGCAACCCGCTGTGCCGAGCTTTCTTCCAGCGGCCGCGCGACGCCTGCGGCCCGGCCGACGGCACATGGTTCGAGAACAAGGCAGTCGGGAAGAATCTTCTGGGCACGCGCATGCAAATGCTGTCGCGCGCCGCCAAGCTTTCCAGGACTTACACCAACCACTGCATCGGCGCCGTCTCCATAGCGACGCTCGACAGCATCTTGGGCGTCGCCGACACAGACTGCAGCGGGCGGTGCGCGGCAATGGAACGCGGTCACGTGGGTGCTGAGATCACGAGTTTTGCGCCTCCCCACCCCAAAAGACTGGGCGCGAAGTCAGGAGCCAGAGAAAGACATGCGCATGCGCGGTCTCCTGTCCGCGCCACCGTCACTCAGGTAGCCTGAAAGGTCACGGGACCCCTCCTGAAGTACCCCTGGGCCATTAAATCTGTGTCCAATTTGGCCTCAACAAGCATAACGCGATTCATTCCTTAAGAAATACAGTCGACCCACGCATATTCGTCGTTTTAAACCTTTGGATTCATGAATTAATTCAATTTTCCTTTCTTTAAAAATAAAAGAATAGAAAAATGACGGTCCGAATTATACATGCGGATACTCTCTATTCACGGACCAGGTCCTAAGCCCGGTCCACTGTCTTCATTATTGGAGTTCATACTGTAGTTTCCAGTTTGGTGTGTGTACTGTATCGAACTTGGAATGCTTCCCATCAAAATATTAGAAACAGTTTGACACAGTGTCGATTTTTACAATAACTTGATCTCATGAGTGTGTGTCCCTGATGTTGTGTCCTGTGGGCTTTTATTGCATTAACGCATGTAATGAGTGGCCACCAAGGCATTGGTTGCCATGGCAACCACGCCTCGCTCATTAAGTTACCCAGCATGCACAACAGTGACGCCCTCAAGCTAACTGGCGCTCAGTGGTACACACACACACACACACACACACACACACACACACACACACATTTGGCAATTGGGTCACTTCCATCAGTGTGTTATCTCGAATCCTAGAAAGCTAGCCCTCGCTAACAGGCCCACAGGTGCTGACCGAGTGTGTCATATGTCCCAGGACAGCGATGGGCAGATTTCGGCGTCCCCGCCCGGTTTGTCTGACATCCCCTCGACAGCGCAACTCAGCAAAGCCAACGCACCGGTCCACGTGGACGTGGGAGGTCACACGTACACCAGCAGCTTGGAAACCCTCACAAAGTACCCCGAGTCACGGTGAGTCATGTGCTGGAGCTTTTGCAGTGTTTTGTAGTGTTTCGTATCGTAGAGTTTTGTGGGGGGTGGGAGGGAGGTTCATTGAAGACTAAACTGTCTTTGATGCTTATGTGGCACGTTGTGTAGCTGACTCATGAGACTAAATAGGACTAATCTGTATTGTTTAAAAAATGGGTGTGCAAGAGTTGTCGTGTAGTGGTTCACAATGCTGATAGTGTGGCTGCGTCCATGACATAGAGTGGTTCACTCGGCCCACTTCTGTTGCTTCATTAGACTAGATCTTGCTGACTTTTCTGTACCTTTATGGGAGGTTCATGACAGAATGATTTGCATAGCAAACCTTTGTAGCTTCTAAATGGTTGGGAATTTTAGGTTTGTAGGGCAACGGTTCACACACTGACTGGTGTAGAAAATGACCAAAATTGAAATATGTCCCTCGTTGTTGGCGTCATGTGATGCGTTAGCAGTGTGCCAGCAGGATCGGGCGATTGTTTGACGGAAGCGAGCCGATTGTGCTCGACAGTCTGCGGCAACACTACTTCATCGACCGAGACGGCGCCATGTTCCGCTACATCCTCAACTTCCTGCGCACCTCCAAGCTCCTCCTCCCGGATGACTTCAACGTGAGTGCGCGCACCGCTGGGTTGGTCGTGTAGCGTTTCACATCGAGCTTTTCCTCTTGCCCTTGTGGCTGTGCCGGCAGGAGTACGCTCTGCTGTATGAGGAGGCCTCCTTCTTCCAGCTGGCTCCTCTGCAGGCGGAACTTCGGCGCTGGCACGGCTTGAGGGAAAGCGAGAACGCAGCGGCGCCGTGGGAGTGCGTAGCGGTTCAGGTGGCTCGAGATCCGCACGAGAGGATCACGCTGAGTGGTCGACGGACCACCCTGGGGGAGACCTTCCCTGAAGTGAGAGAGTTGGTGTGCAAATCCGGAAGCGCCAGACCGGAGAAGGACCCCGCGCATGTCTGTCGCTTTCCTCTTGAGGACGACTGCACCCTCAACTCTGTACAGGTATCAGAAATATTAAAATAATACCGTGTCTGAAGGACTTTTTGAGTAGCTGGCTTGGGAGGTTTATGGAAGATTAAATTGCCTCCGGTTTATGAGAACAGCAATGGTCGGTAGTGCAATGGTTCACATACTATAGGCAACATTGGCATAGCTGGTTTGGGTGGAAAGTTTATCAAAGACGATAAATTCTCTTTAGTATTTGTAAAGCGTTCGTGTAGTGGTTCACATAGCTGCAATGTATTTCGCTGCTGTGGGATGTTGGTAGCGTGGTCATTCGTCAGACTTTTGTAGCTGAAGACGAAAAGGTCTCCAAAATAAATGAAAGATTGGCAGCTTAGTAGTTCGCATAGTTGACCTGCGTATCTTGAGGCGGTAGGTTCATTTCAAGATTCCAAATTGTTTTTAAAATTCTTGCTTGCTTGCGGGTGCAGGTGCTGGAGCGTTTACAACTCGCTCAAGATCCGCACAAGAGGATCATGCTGAGTGGTCGGCGGACGACCCTGGGAGAGACCTTCCCTGAAGTGAGAGAGTTGGTGTGCAAATCCGGAAGCGACAGACCGGAGAAGGACCCCGCGTATGTCTGTCGCTTTCCTCTTGATGACGACTGCACCCTCAACGCTGTACAGGTATCAGAAACATTAAAATAATACCGTGTCTGCAGGACTTTTTGAGTAGCTGGCTTGGGAGTTTTATGGAAGATTAAATTGTCTACGGTTTATGAGAAGAGCAATGGTCGGTAGTGCAATGATTCACACACTATAGGCAACATTGGCATAGCTGGTTTCGGTGGAAAGTTTATCAAAGACTAAATTCTCTTTAGTATTTATAAATCGTTCATGTAGTGGTTCACATAGCTGCAATGTATTTAGCTGCTGTGGGAGGTTGGTAGCGTGGTCATTCATTTGTCAGACTTTTGTAGCTGAAGACGAAAGGTCTCCAAAATAACTGAAAGATTGGCAGTTTTGTAGTTCACATAGTTGACCTGTGTATCTTGAGGCGGTAGGTTCATTGAAAGATTCCAAATTGTTTTAAAATTCTCGCTTGCTTGCGGGTGCAGGTGCTGGAGCGTTTACAACAGAGGGGATTTCGGCTGACGGGCTCCTGCGGCAGCGCCGATGCCTCCTCATACCTCTGCCAGTACCTATTAGGTCGGGCGGGCGGGGTGGAAGACTGCGAAGAGCTGTAAAAAGTCAAGTCGCCCATCGATCGCACAGGGACAAACTGCTCCTGTTAGTACTGTAATGATGACGATGTCATGTGACAGGACATCCAGCACAAAATGTATCTGCGAAGAAAACAGTTCGTTTTTTTTTTCTAGGTATAACATGACACAAAATGCTTGTGGACATTTTTTAATGAAACTGAGTGAGAAAAACAAAGACGGCTTCAACGAAAGCTTCAACACAACATACAAAACAATGAGCACAGCATCAGAATAACAGTGGACCCCCACGTACATGTGATTCAGCATCCGCAAATTCAAATTTCTTTAGTTGGCATGAAAAAAATTGGGTTTTTTTTTTTACGTTTTTAGGTTGTTGATCAGCATTTTATTGGGTTGAAATGGGAATCTATTATACATGGATTTTTGCAATTCACGGGCTGGCTTGTCCTTATCCCCCCGCGAGTAGTGGGGTCTACTGCAACTAACAAACAAAAAAAAAGATATTTCACAACAAAGACAAACTCCTAAACTTCAACATGTATTATTGCAGACCCAACTTCGAAGTTTTCCCGGAGACGAGCCATTGTTACGGCCATGTTCTTGCTTAGGCTCAAGACTGGAAATTTGAGATATGAAAAGCAGCTTTTGGGGGAGAGCAAACAATTCCTGAAGTTGACTGAACATGAAACAAAGAAGTTCAACTTGCAAAAAAACAACAACCCTGCTATCTTAATGTTAACTTATGAGAAAAGCTATTGACATGCCAACAATTAGCATTGACAGTCACAGTATTATACATTGGCATACACAACAGAGAAATGCATGGATATATTTTAACAACTCACGGGAATATATTCTTTATCCTCTGTGAAAAACAGGTGGCAGATAGTCTATTATTATTTTTATTTATTATTTATATTTTTGTAAAGCACATTTTTATCGTGACTTTTTTTCGTCACACTTTGGCGTGCCACGGGTCCTCCTACGGGTGCCAAGCGAAGCGGCTCATAGGAGCCCAGACGCAACATAAGCCAGGAAGGCCGACCGGAGTACCTTCAGTGGTGCCTTGCGGTGTTCCGCCCTCATGCTGAGCTTCTCCAGAAGGCCGCGGAGATATTCCTGAGCGGCATGAGAAACCAGAGCCACCGCCTCTGGGCCCACTTGGGTCACCCCCAGCGGCCGTCCTGCGCACAGGATGCGGCCCAGCAAGGGGCCGGGAGACAGGAAGAGCTGATCCTGGCACGACTGCACCACAGAGCCCACCGCGCTGGTCAGGATCTGAGCGTTCTCCTCGCGCAGGTTGACGCCGGCCATGGACGCCACGTCGTTAATGTCATCATCTTCTCTGCGGGGGGGCGGGACGTGGACAGGTTAGACAACTGGTGGGCAAGGTGCTCATAATTAAATGATTAGCTAATTTAGTCCTTCTCAAAGTGTGATACGAGGACCACCAGTAGTACGTTGGCTCCATTTACCGGACACAAATGACTTACTGCTCAAGTGCAGTTCAGCTGTATTTAACTTTGAAGTTCAATACATTTGAGATGAGAGCATTTGGACACACACTTGCCGCGAAATGCATCTGAATCTTCTTACTTGTACGAGGCTGAAGTGTCCCTGAAAGCAAGTCTGGGGGCGCACGGATGATCTCGAGCAAAAGGTTGCGTCATGGAGTGCCTCCCTAGTGTAAAAAAAAAAAAAGAAAAAAAATACACTTGGATTTTGTAGACCATTCTGTGTCAGGAGCCCCTTTCACATTGCCCGTTTAAATGCTACGACAGTTTTCTCCGAGTTGTTCTCTATTGAAAGGTACCGACGTGACCAAACCCAGAAAACAGGTCAGCTGTGACTTTTACAATGCGAGCCCGAGGGCAGTTGGATGGCAATTTACGTCAACAGCAGGGGGCCATAGAAACCAAAATGGCAGCTCAGTGAGTTGAATGAAAATGGATGGCTATTGGATGGGGGCATGGTGAAAAACTCTTGCTTTGGATATTCTTGGAAATGGTCAAACTTTACCTGGCTCTATCATGGGAGGGTCAGGAATACGACTATTGCAATAAATGAAGCCAACTACGACAGAGCCATTTACACAGACCAGAAGAAAAAAACGTGGCTTTAACCAGCAGAGTAAAAGGGACAACCTGTGAAATTTCTTCCAATCTGGACCGGGGTGACTTTGGGGATAGAGTTGCCTCTGAAGTCCTTGGTGGTGAAAGTTGTGGACTGGGCCAACACGCTTGCGCCACTTGACTGTAAAACAGATCATTAGCAGGACCCGACATGACTTTGAAAGTTGTCACTCAAACAGCACAGACCACCGGATGGAGGGCTCTCGGACTTGGAGCTGGGTTCACGTTGGGCTTCTTCACAGCAGGGGGGCAGGAGGAGGAGGAAGAGCAGGAGGAGGACGACGAAGACGACGACGACGAGCAGGCCTGCTGGATGAATACCTGAGGGTCTGCGGTAAGGCGACGCACTGCGGGGAGACTTTTCTGTCAGTAGATACAAAAGTAGAAGGACTACTACTGTTAGAAATCTCCATGGCAGTGAATGAGTTAAAAAAAGAAATCTTACTGAGCAATCAATTCCATTTAATTCCTAAAAATCTAGTGTGACGGTCTCTCACTCACTTTGAGGAAGGGAACCAAGCAGGGTTGCGGTGTGGACTTGAGCTCCTGATAGAGCGCCTCAGTGAACTCCTCCGCCTCTATCCTGCCTTCCTGCGACAGCAACGTGAACGTTACGTGTCCCAACGGCCAAAACCAGCGATGGCAATATCATGAATCTCACCAGCAGACCCCTGACCAGGCCTCGCACGTTGTTGGCCATGTTGACAGACTTAGAGTCGCTGCAGGCCAGCTTCATTAGCGTCACCAGGAAGTTCTTGCACTTCTTTACACTCTCCAACGTCTCCTGGTGGCCAGAAGGACAAAAGGAAACATCCTTAACATCTCCCGACAAAGAAAAGGGGGAAAAAAAGTCAACAAACCACAGCTCATAACTTGAAAAGCTTGGAATTTTGATGACCGTATATTGCCAGATGATAAGTTTATTTTGAACCCCCCCCCCCAAAAAAAAAAACTGACTACCTTGAATACCGAGGAATCGGTGCACAGTTCAATTGTTTATCCAGTGTTTATGTACTATCCAGTGGTCTTGCGCCCCATCAATATCAAGTGTGTTTAAAAACCCTAAAAAAATGAAGTGCCATAAACAATATAAAAACAGTTTTTCAATCGGGTATTTCTATTTCACATGTTTCACTTGTTGCAGGGGTGGTCTGAAATGTAAATTCCGTGGTGCAAGGGGGTTCATTGTATGAAGAAAAATTGCCTTTTGGAGAAATTATACTAAACTACGCAAGGACCCGGCACTCGCCTGACTAAATGTGGGTGGAGGCTCTTTCTTGGTTTCCACGGTGACCGGCTGACAAGCATGCTCAGCCACCTCGCTGCGGGTCTGAACCACAGCTGGCTTGGGAGTCACGCCGATCACCTGAAGGCACACAAACACAGATGAAAGTTTTACGCAGATACCCTGACAACATTTCAAGCATTTTGTACTTATTTGATTTTCCATTATTGTTTTCCTATTTTTTGGTCATATATGTATTTTATTTTTATTTGTATTTAATGATTATATATAATATTTAATATATAATATTTTTATTCTTTGCATCTGTATTTTTGGGTAATAATGCCCCCAACACACCGAGAATTTTTCATTTTGTTGTAGTTGTTTCTAATATTTATCTGTTCAAATATTTTTGGTTCTTATTTGTCTAATATTATTTGGACCTTTATCAAACGTTTGTATTTTTTAAATATTATTTACATGCTCCTACCTTGACCACAGCCGTCTTCTGGACGGCTGGTGGCTGGAAAGTCTGAGGAGCCGTCATCCTAATCACTGTCACCTTCTCATTGCTTTGACTTGTGGCACCTGCCGTGGACACCTGATGTTGCAAAGCAGCACAGACGCCAACCGTGAGCGCATGCGAGTGCAGGCACACGGGACTTTGTCATACCTGCCGGGCCAGAATTCCGGTGGCTTGCCCGTTGCCGGTTCTCAGTGCCTGTTGAGCCTGAGCCAAAGCCTGCTGGGACATCAGCATCAGCTGACCACTGTCACTGCGGATCAGCATCATACCTGTTCATTTGAGAATACGGATGATACCTATTTATATAGTGGTGCTTGGCAATACAAGTTTAATTTGTTTACTTGACTAATGAAAATTGTATTCATTCCTTCTCGCCAGTAACGTAAGCATACAGTAATGACACTATTTAAGACAATGTAGGCTAAACAAAAACAATGTTTTGCTTCATTTCAATGGACATTGTGGTACACCTTCTAGTGTGTACCTCTAAAATCCTCCATAATAAACTAATTCCCAAAAAACGAAGTAGATAAGCTCTTCTACTTCTTCGTGCTTTGTACTCTGGTTGAAGTGGCCATTTCTACCAGACTCAGCATTTTGATAGACTGTCATTTGGGGGAAATATTTTCATGTTGCTACGACACAGAAAAGTAGTTTCAGTCAAGAGGTGAAAAATGAAATACCTGGTGGAATCTGGATGTTAGCGGGCAACTGTGTCCGAGGCGCCATGGGCACCTGTGGTCCGGTTGACCTGGGAACGGTGATCACCACTGTCCTACCCTGGACTGAGGTCGGGTTCATTGTGGTGTTGGCCTGGCTCAGAACCGCTTTGGGCCCATTGGCACTTGCCCCGCTCGGCTTGGAAACCTTGGTTACCACCATGACGGAGGGGGACGACATCTGAGGAGCAGGAACCGAGGAGGTGGAGGTGGGTTGGTAGACTGGCCCCTTGGAAACACCTGGAGAAGGAACATGGCCACACTTGGCCGCGACTTGGAGGTTCTTCACTTGAATGGTGGGCTCTCCATCTTGTACTGCCCCCATGGGGTCCTTATTCATAGCCATTATTGTTTCTAAACGGGGAAATAAATGTGACTTAATACAATTCAATTTGTAAGACAAACTTTTTCAACAATTGTGTCCCTAAATTGCGTAGCCTTGATTACTTTTAAGTGGAAAACACTTGATATTTTACGCGAGTGTGTGGTCAAGGCAGTTTTTTTCAACAAATTACATAAAAGGAACTTACCTTTATTTCGCTATGAATGCGTACTTTCTAAGCACACCGCAGCGTCAAACGACCCCTTTTCAGCTACTTAAAACCGAGCTGCTGCCGGCAGGTGTACTCAATTAATTTCCATTTACCTGGATTATTAAAGTGAAATGTGTTTCAGCTACTCGAAAGGATATAAATAGGTCTAATATTTTCAACAATGAATGGCCAACTGTGAAATAAATGTGTGCTAACAATTCCAATTTCGCCATGTCACAAGACTTTGCATGAAACGCGTTGCAAAGCCACGTGACGAATAGTAATCAACGTTCACATCTTAGACAAAATAAAGGATGATACTCATGTTATGGAAAATATAAGATGTTACAAAGATGGGCGCCGGGTGTGTTTTTAGAATAGTCGAATCGGCGGCGTCTCGTGGCGTAAATTACGTACTCTTCAGGTGACATGAACATACACCGGCCCGCCTGAAAGCTCGTACTCTTGTTCACAGTGATGCGTTCAATCAAATAGGCAAATCTGGCATGTTGAATATCTGTCCCTTTCGTTCTTCCCATATTATTAAACTCGATTAATTCTAACAGTATGTAAATTTCGCACTCCAAGGTGAACGCAGTCTTGGTGTTACCAGTGATGCGTTCTGCGCGCGCAGGAAGAACACATTTTCACGCGCGCGCGCACACACTCACACACGAAAGATTTTATATATCCAATTTATGTAATTTACATACTCTTTGGTGACTTGAACCAGACCTTCTATCTAAACACTCGCAGCGTGATGCATTCAGGAAACATAGGAACTGTTTTGTGATGAGCTTTCCTTTCATTTTAATACCGTTTCCAAAAGAAGAAACCGTCACATTAATATAATTTCCATCCGGCTTCTGCAGAGGAAAAATATAATGCCACCACCTTCTTGGGGTTGGTTCTTATTGCAGGAAGGCTGCACTGTTGCTTTTATCTTGAATTATACAATACAATTTTATCTCGCGCATTTGACAACAGCTGTAGTTGGAACAAAGCACTTTACATATAACATAAAATAATACAGCATCAAAAGAAAGTAAACACAGTGAATTGAAACACAAATTAATGACACAGACACATATACACCAGAAAGCACTGGAACAGCCAGAGAATAAGGATGTGTCGGCAGATATGTTTGGAAATGTACAAAGCAGGGGCTTGTCTAAAATTTAACGGAAGGTAAGGATATATGACTACAGATCCCTTGAAGTGGATCTGATGTTGTAGTCGTGAGGCAAAAAACACCCAATCCAAATTTTAATAACAGAATAACTGTGTATCCCTTTATAATAATATGATTCCTGTACAATAAATCAAGGACATCATAGTTGGATAAGAGTCAAGTCTTTCATGTGACATCATGATAATGATTAGGAAACAAAATGGCCACCATCACGTTGGCTTCACGTGCGTCCTGAGAGCAGCTGCAGGACCAGCTGCTCGTCCTCGGCCAGCGACAGGCCCGTGTCCAGCACTGCGTGTTCCTCCTCTTGCTGCTGCCTTGCCTTCTTCCTCTTCCTTACTGGTGCCTCATCTTCTTCGCTGCTACTGTAGCTGCGTTTAGCGGGCTCATCTTCATCCTCGTCGTCGCTGTTGTCGCGGTGTCTGTCAGGGTCCGGCAGGGTGCTGGGGTCAAACTCTTCCTCGCCGCTGTTAGCCAGATATGCCACCACCTCATCCTCGTCGTCTTCGTCGCGGTCCTCCGACTTGTCTCCGCGCTGCTTGCTGGCCTCCCTCCTGGCCGCTTTGGCCTTCAGCCTCTTTTCTCTGTGTTTGGCCTTTATTTTGCGGCTGTACTCCCGCTTGTCGAACTCCTCGTCCTCCCTCCTCAGCCGCTCCTTGGCCTTCTCCACGTTGATCCCCGACACGTCGTCCTCCTCGTCTTGCTCCTGCACTGCGTCCTGGCTGGCGGCCGAGCGCTGCACGGGAGGCCACACCTGCATAGCTTGTCCTTCCTCCGTGAAGGACACTTTGGTGTTGACTTTGAAGTTCCTTTTGAGGATCTTCTTGGCCTCTTTAAACTTGGTCACCTTTTGGGGTTTCGTCTTGCTGGAGTCATCCACCTGGGCCTGGTGCGCTTCCTCCGTATTGAAGACATCCTTTCGTTTGAGTGTGAGGAAGTCCAAGTCTCTCAGGTCGTCATCGTCGACATCCACGGGGGGTGCTTCGGCCCGATCCTCATCATCACCATCATCATCATCGTCGTCATCCTCACTGTCATCTTCAGATTCCTCCTGGCGAGGACCATCTCCTCTCAGTTGGGCTTTGAAGCTGCTCAGTTCTTCGTCTTCCTCGGGCTTCTTCTCCGCTCTCTGCGCCTCGGCTTTGTTGAGGAAGCGCACGCGCGGCGCCACCGCCAGGCCCAAGGACAGCGCATACTCGTGCAGCGGGAGCTTGAAGACGTCAAACACGCCCTTGTTCTTCATCAGGTACACTGAGCGCAGGTAGGAGACGAAGCAGCGCTGGGCCCGTTCCTTCTGCTCCTGCTCTTGAGCCAGGAAGGCCTCCAGCTTCTGCTGAACATTCTGAAGCTTCTCTGGATTCACCTGCAATCAAGCGGACAGTTAATTTAAAAAAAAAAATCACAATATCAGCATGGAATTTAAGGAAACAAAAACGGGAAGTAAACAAAGGGTTTTTGACTTTGCTGCCTAAACGGGCTGCTGAACAAATCTAAAACACAAGCAAACAAGACATTTTGCAGTTTGCCACCACAATGAATTGCAAAAGAAATTAAAACGGTCAACAGTAGTTTGCTGCCTCAACGGCCAGCAGAAGGAATCAAAATCAAAAGTAAATAAACAGGAGGTATTTCCAAGTTGTTGCCTCAATGGGATGGACAAAAAATACAAATACATTGTGAAAAAGAAATGTTCTAGTTTGCTGCCTAACGGGGCTGAGAACAAATCCAAAACAGAAAGTAAAAAGGAATCATTTTAGTTTTCTGCCTAAATGGACTGAATGACAAATCAGAACAGAAAGTAAATGCTATGTTTTGTAGTTTGCTGCTAAACAGGCTGCGGAAGAAATCCAAACAGGGTGTAAATAGTTAATTCTCTGCCTAAGCGGACTGCTGAAGAAATAAAAGACAAAGAATTTGTCGAGTGTGTGGCCTACACAGACAAACAGAAGTAAACAGGAAGACTTTTAGTTTGTTGCTTAAAAGGGCTGAAAATGGAATCGAAAGACAAAGTAAACAGATGTTTGATAGTTTTCTGCCCAAACAGACTACAAAAGATATCAAACAAAATGACACTTTCTAGATTGTTGCCTGATTGGAACCTGCATAAGGAGTCAAAACAAAGTAAACAAGTGTTATACTTGGCTGCATAAATGGGCAGCAGAAGAAATAAAAGCCATGTTCAAGTGTGATGCCTAAACGAAATCATAATAGATGACAAGATCCCGGAGAACCCACCTGGATCTTGTTGACGGGCACCTTCTTCTCCTGCAGCTGGGCAATCATGCCCGTCTCCTCGGAGGGCAGCAGCAGGAGCAGAGCCTCGCCGCCCTCCTTGTACCTGGCGGTGCGGCCCACCCTGTGGATGTAGGTGTCTGCGTCCTCGGGACAGTCATACTGCAGCACCCAGTTGACGGCCGGGAAGTCCAGTCCCCTCGCGGCGATGTCTGTTGCGAAGAGGACGGCATTCTTCTTCCGCAGGAAGTCGTCGTAGACCTCCACACGCTTCATCTGCTGCTGCTTGCCGTGCAGCGCCAGCACGGGGATGCCCGGCCGGAGGCGGCAGAAGATGCGGAACAAGTACTGCACCTCCTTGCAGCAAGCAAAGAACACCATGATCTTCTTCTTCAGGTGACTTCGGATGAAGGAGAAGAGCATGTTGACTTTGTCGTGGAGCTCGCACACCACGTAGCTCTGCTCCAGCGTGGCCGGCGTGCTGAACTTGGCCTTCTCGTGCACCCAAACGTACTCGGGCTCCTTGAGGCTGAGGCGCGCCAGGTCTTTGACCGACTTGGTCTGCGTGGCGGAAAAGAGTAGCGTCTGGCGGCCGGCGGGGAGGTTCTCCACGATGGCGTTGAGCGTGTCGGCAAAGCCCATGTCCAGGATGCGGTCGGCTTCGTCCAGCACCAACATGCGCAGGTCGGACGCGTGGAAGGCCGCCGTCTCGTCCATGTGCTGCAGCAGCCGGCCCGGTGTGCAGATGACGATGTTGGTGCGGTGGATCTTCTCCGACTCGCCCTTCAGCTCCTTGCCACCGATGATGAGCCCAGCTGAGAAGTCGTGGTTCTTGCCCACTTTGCGGAGCACCTCGAAGGTCTGATAGGCCAGCTCCCTGGTGGGTGAGATGATGAGGGCGCCCAGGCCGTCCACGGAGCTCCACTGCTGGCGGTACAGACACTCCAGCACCGGGATGAGGAAGGCTAAAGTCTTTCCAGATCCGGTCTTGGCAGCGCCCAGCACGTCCTTCCCCTGCAGCGCGAAGCCGATCGTCTGCTTCTGGATCTCCGTGGGCTGCCTGTACTGACACTCCTGGAGGGCTAAAAGAGTTTTCTTGGAAATTGGGAAGTCGGAAAACTTGATGACTTCCTTGCTGTCGATATCGCCGTACTTGCTCACCAGCCGGGCGATGTTCTCTCGCTCGACCTGCCACTCCGGCTTCTTCTTTTGGCTACGTTCACGCTTGACGCGAGCTTTCTTCAAATTGTATTTCTTTTTCCATTTTTCAAAGTCTTTTATTGGATCCGACGTGTCTGCCATGTTATCTCTTGTTATTGAGTCAAAACAAAAAAATCAGCTGCCACTCCGGCTTCTTCTTTTGGCTACGTTCACGCTTGACGCGAGCTTTCTTCAAATTGTATTTCTTTTTCCATTTTTCAAAGTCTTTTATTGGATCCGACGTGTCTGCCATGTTATCTCTTGTTATTGAGTCAAAACAAAAAAATCAGCAGAAGAGATTAGGGAAAACACGCCTCGGTGGACCGACTCGAGTGTAAGCGTGGGGCAAACGTCGTGTTGTGATTGCGTCATCACCAGCCGCCATCGTAGTCTTCTTCTTTTTGTGTTTGCAAACTATGAGAAAGCATTAGCGCCACCCAATAATCTCTCAGTTGACTCGTTTTCTTGCTATCTAAATTGCTCGTCTTCGTACAAAGTAATTCAAACAAACATAAAATCTTAAATCATAATTGATTAGCTACTTTATTTTACACTTCATAGTCATCTATTAATTGATTCTTAATTGATTTTATTCTGTAGTTCCCATTTCCCCATACAGGTAATGGTTTTTTTTCATTCGGTTTTATTTTATTATTTTATTTCCTCAGTTTCTGAGGAGATTGTTCCCTGTAAATTTTAATATCAATATACAATGAATAACTGTTTTCACCACCATAACTATTCTACATAATAAAATAATGCATTTTTTAAATTCAGGAATCTAATAGTCAAATTTACTACGGAGCTTTTTG